GTTCTGAAGCCACTTAAATGTCCTGAAAATACCCCCTCCATTTTCAGGACAGCAATGGCACCTCACATCCTCACGCCTCAAGATTCTGACCTCCCCTTCTGTGATCAGACATAGAGAACTCTCTGCTTTCGCAGAGCTCATATGATTAGGTCCGGTTCACTCAAATAATTCTCCTATCCTAGGTCCAACTATACCATTTAACATAACCTAATGATRTGAGTAAATATCATAATATTCAGTCTTGGGGATTATGCAGGATGTGTACACCAGGCAGATGAAAAATCTTAGAATCCTATCTTCTGGGAAAAATGTTATTTTGAGGAACACGGACCTTGATATTCTCCACCATTTTAGATAACACTAAGGGTTTTGGGACCTTAATTGTAGGGCCCGCAGGGATCCCTAAAACCTCAACACTATTTGTTGATTTGGTCTCTGAGTATGGCCTTAAGCAGCCATATTGGACATCGTGATGCTCAGATGGAGGCCACTCACGACTCCAGCTCCAAGAATTCCTAAATCTGTCTTTCCCCATGCCCCTAAAGGTCTTTTGGTTCCTGTTCTTGTCCTGAGCCATCTGTTAATATTCTGAGTGGCTGGCCTCAGTGTCAATCACCAAGAAGGTACAGTGGCCTCTGCCCCCCGTGCACTTTAGCTTCTTCCCTTATTGTCCTAGACAGTGTCAGGAATGGATTCTATTTCATCCAAATAGTATGAAATGATGAATTATACCTGGGCTCAGCACTGAAAGCCTCTTTGGCTTCCTCCCATTTCCTAGTTTCCGATTAACATGAAAGAACATGTCTTTGTCCCACCTGCCTGCTATCAACTTGGCACCTTCCAGCCACTTCTTATTCCTGATCGGATGATCACATGGAATTCTAAGCTCGTCTGCTGAGTTGGGTGACAGACATTACCGGACCTGAACAATACTGTGGACCAGTGCTTCTGACCATAAACTCTCAGATAGCCCACCTGCCTCAGAAAAACAATCTTTTAGAATTATAACTCTAAAATGCCTTTTTATGTGCCCAACATGTTCTTAGGTGCCTCACTATAAATAAGAATTGTGGCTACACTTCCCAATGGTACAGGAAAGTATCATTAAACACATTTCACCAATGAAGAAATGGAGGCTCAGGAAGTTCACAGAGCTTGCAGGCATGATGGTGCATGCCTATAATTCCAGTAGCTCAGGAGGCTAAGATAGGAAGATTGTGAGTTCAAAGCCAGCCTCAGCAAAAGCGAGGTGCTAAGCAACTCAATGAGACCCTGTCTCTAATAAAATACAAAATAGGGCTGGGGATGTGGCTCAGTGATTGGATGCCCCTGAGTTCAATTCCCTGTACCTGAAAAACAATAACAACAACAACAACAAGAAAGTTCACACAGCTTACCTAAGGCTACAGAACTGAAAAGTGACAGAAATACCAGTTTAGACTACTTACACTCCTGTGATTACTTGTTCATAGGGAAAGCATAACACTCCCACTATGAGAACACCATAAGCTCAGGGAAAGCAGTGCTGCTTTCTCACACTGGGCTACTAGAGGCTTCTACCCCGTATGTTTTCTTAAAACTTTGTTTTAGGAAACATTCTGCTGCCGTCGATGCTGGCATTCTGTTCCCAGTTCTATCAGTATGGCTGCTGCCTGCACATCCCAACACAACACTGCACTGCGAAGGGTTTCACAATGTCTAAATTAACAAAACAACTCTTAGAACATTTCCCACAAAGTGCTATGTGCAAAACTCATGTGTGGTGTGCACATTTTGGATAGCAGCCATGTCTCTGCTTCCTGTGTAGATGTGTGGTGGGGGCACCTGCAGCAGGGATATTTTCTGAGCTGTGTGACTTGATTGGGGGCACATCTAGATGGCCAGGCAGACATTTTGGCGAGGCGCCTCTTCCTCTTGAGTGTGCAATGGCAGAGAGAGGTTGCAGCGAGGGTGGATTCCTTTGTCCTCACCCTGGTTGGCTCAGCTCTGTTGTTTCACGGCTGTGCTCACAAGTTTGTCTGTACTTACCCAGGGCACAGTCTCCTCCTGATGGAACTTCCCGGCCCATGGCCTCTGCGGGGACCTCAGGCTGAGTGGGGTTGGCCATTTCCTGTATTCACCCTCTTGTATTCACTCTGATTCATCAAGAAGTGAAACCTGATTCAAAGATAGCCAATCCACAGACTGACCATGACCTATGAGGTGGCCCAGGCTTTTCCCTATCAGAAGCTCTGTAGTTCATTTGGCCAATCCAGTTCTCCTTCTTGAAAATCTGAACCAGAAGATAAAGAAAGAACCAGTCAGTTGGTAGACAGAACAGCAGACACAAAATGGGCAGATGACCAGAGTAATTGCCCACTCTGGTGGTGAAGCATTGAGGCTCAGAATTGGGAACTCAGGAGATTGATGTAGAAACAAAATAATGCAATGCTTAGAGTTGCCAGAGATCCCAAACATGCCCTTGACATCTCTTTCTCATACCTGACTGGATTTTGTTTCTGTTCATGTATTTTAGCAAGATTCTGGTCTCACTGTTGTATCCATGAGGATGGTTTAGGCTGCAAGTAATAGAAAACTTAGCTAAAAGTGGTTTAGATAATAAATTCATCTCACTCAACAGAACAATTCCAAGGGGTTTCTTTCCTTCCTATGTTGATTAATTTAGTGACACAATAATACCACAAAGATCCCAAGTGTTTTCTGAATTTCTCCCATCACCCTCATATTTTGCTTGACCTTCTAGCTTASCTTCTTTTATGATTTTGCAAGACTACAGAAGTTTCAGGCAATAACACCCAGAAATAAAAAAATAAAACTTAAAAAAGGTAAATATAGTTCTCCAGTGTCCTTTTAAAGAGGGAGGAAAAGTCTCCATCAGCTCCCTAGCAAGCTCCTCCCATGTCTCATTGGTTAGAATTGTAGCTTGTGCCCATTCCTAATCAGTCACCAGGGTCAGTAGATAAGAACCCAGTTTCCTTGAAGCACAAGGTAGCTCTATGCTTTAACCAGTCAGCACTAGCTTTCTATTAGCCCAGGAGAAGCCACTCAGCAGTGTTGCTCCACTTATTATCTCCTATACCAAACATACAGTTCCGTTTCATGGGATGACCTCCTTGTACCTGTTTCTTTCAACTACAAAGATCAGCTAACATTCAGATCATCATTAGCAAGTTAAGGAAGTGGTCTTTAATAGGTATCCTTAGAGAACAATTAAGAGCTGAGTAGGTACACACATGCAACATTAGATAGATCCCTTAAAGTTCCCATTGGTTTTCCCCATACTTTATGGGGCTCCTAAGATTTACATAGGTGCATACATACACACACTTCACAGAAACAAACTCCAAGGAATGATCTTTCACCCTGCTGCTAACCACTGGGATTCTCAGTTCATTTCCTGCCTTCAAGGGCCTCTGAAGTACTGTGGCAGTCAATCTGTTGTTTGCAGGGACTTCCTCCAGCTGACACAGAAGGTTTTCTAGAACAGTGGTTCTTCAGGTGATTCTTGTGCAACACAGAATCACCTGAAGGTCTCCTTAGAACAGAAAATTGCAGGGTGGGCTCTACTATTACTGAAAGTGAAAGCTCAGTCCTTGTCACTGATGCCAATTCATGCCAATGTAATAATGAGTACACAGTTTTAAGAAAATGTAAAAAGAAGGTTTATTGCTTTGCTAGCAAAAGAAGAAACACYGGGGGACTCCAGTCCCAGAGGCTGTGGTTTTGCCTAGTAGGGAAAACAGAGGGCTTTTAAAGAAGCTATTCAAAGGCTATATTTGTGCCCAGGCAGGGGGTCCCAGGTGAGCTCTGATGATGTGTTGAAATTCACTTGTTAATTGGGAGACAGTCACTTCCTAGTTCTTCTGGTAACATCTCCTGCCTGTGGAGGACAGATAACTCAAGGTAATCTTGTTCTGTGCCTCCAGGTTAGAGGGGGAGAGAGGGAGAAGAGGAAAAGGAAAAAAGAAAAACATGTTATTTTAAAAATAAGCAGCAAGGGTTATATCCAAAAGATAAAATGGATCATAGTTACACTACCTCCACAATTTCTAATCCACTGGGTCTGGGTGGAGCAGATAATGTGATTTTTCACAGATTTCCAGGGGATGATCATGCTATTGGCCCAGGGGGAATGCACTTACAATCACTACCAGAAGGCAAGGGGTTCAAACCTTTAACCCAACTGGCAGCTCAGCATCTAAGGAGGCCACGCATATACCTTCTCTCAGGAAAATCTACTTCCTCCTCACTTGCAATCACCACTCCTCCACATAGCAGGGGCTGGCAGGCCTAACTCAGAGAAGCAGAGGCCTCCTTTCTCTAGGAATGTTGGAGGGTGGAAACTTGGCTTCCTGCCAGGAGAGAAAGGCAAAAGGCCTTCAACCTTTGGCGACAGAACCTAACTAGGCAAATGGCACAGGATCCCTTGCATTTCTCACTCCATTTGCTTTCACAGCTTTAAAATGAACTGATAGCAGTCCGGAGGCTACTCAGGTTTCTTTAAGATAATCCTTGTGGAAGGGACCCTGCCCAATGCAAAGCTCTTCAGATTTACAGTCTTAATCACAATAAGGGGGACTAAACCAGGTCTGGGTTAGGGCCCTTCTAAAAGGGGCTCAGCACAGGGAACTTTCTGGGCTTTTTYACCTCTAAAGCAGGAGCCCTTTTTTCCGGGAGTTGTGCACACCCACCCTCAACCTCAGCTCCAGAAGGGCTACCTGACCTGGGCATGCGCGTGTATGTGTGGTTTTCTAGTGAAAAACATAACTGCCTTTCCCCGGTTCCTTCCATCGTCAACTCCGGGATCCTTATCCCACGGGAGAGCCGGGGAACCCGGAGGTGCTGAGGCAGGGAGGAAGCCGGTGCTTCCCGTCAAGTGCCGGCGCCGCCCTGCCAGAGCCCCGGGGGGGACACCGAGTTTTCGCAGCACCTCGAGGACGCGGCGCAGGCCGCTTGGCAGAGTGTCCCAGGGACAGCCTTGGCCGCCCCTCCAGCGGGTCTCCGCCAGGCCCTGGGGGCTGCGCCGGCTCCTCCACACATTATTCAGAATCGCGCGTCAGCCTTGGCTAGGGCGCCTGGCGCGAGCGCTCCGGGCTTTGGCCGCCTCGGCCCGGTCTGAACCCTACGGGCCGCGGGCCAGGGCGGGCCCGAGAGCTGCGCGCCAGGACCTTGTCCCGACGCCTCCCGCACCAAGTTCCTCCTGCCCGGCCTGTTGTCCCCGCTTGCAAAGCAAGGACGGCACTTTGGGGCTCGCGGCTGGGTCTGCGCCCGGGGCTCCCTGCGCTCCGTCTTGGGCTCGCAGCACCCGGCTCTCGACCCGGCAGCGTTGAGCCCCAGGAGCTGCCACTCCTAAGCTGTGGCACCCCGTCGTCCATCGGCGCCCGAGCGGGAGTGGGAAACAGGGGCGGGAGCGGAGGACGCGCTCTGCACAGGGCGACCTCCCTCTCGTCTCCTCGTGGCGAGATTTCGGGTGGAGAGCACCCCTCGGGGATCCAGCTGGGCGGTGTTCCAGATGTGTGCAGCTGTGCAGCGGGAGACTTTCCCCGGGTTCTGGGAGGGGACCGGCGCAAAAGTAGTCGCTGCTGCTCCCTCTCTGTGTTGAGTCAGTGGGGAAGATTTGCCTTGTAGGACTTGCACCTTGCACCTTGCACCTTGCACCTGAGCACAGAGGATGTGAAACTTTTTTTTTTTTTGGCCGGGGGGGGGGGCGGTGGGGAGTAAAAGGGACATTGGATGAAGAACTGAGGGCTCCGTAGTTGAGGTTTGAATCTTAGTTCCACCATTTACCAGCTGCCCAGCCTTCACAAATCCACTCCCCCTCTCTTTTTTTTCTGGGTTATAAATAACTATAGCTACCACTTGAGTGCCTATTATTTTCCATGTACTTTACATGCATTATTTTTGTCTTCCCAAAGATTTTGCAGGCTAGGTGTTATTATCCACATTCTGCGGATGGAAAAGTGGGATCCCGTCCAAGGAAAATGACTTGCCAAGTTTGTACCACTGGTAAGTGGGGACAATGACTTGATCCTTTCTCTATCTCCAGAGACAGTACTGTCTCTGAAAGTGAGACTGATACCATACAATGAATTTTTAAAATGTGAAAGGGTGATGGAGACTTCTCTTCTGACCTGTCCCGGGGCCAGATGAAGTCCAGGTATTCTACTGGCATGACCATACCTCCTCCCAACCTCCACAGCAACACTTGCTTAGGTGGGTCAGGGTACAAGGGAATGGGGCTTAGACTCACATTCCTGACAGTCAGCCTTACCTACCTCCCCAACTTGGAACCAAAGGGTTCACCTCCCTCTTTCCCATTCTCATTTACACCCACATCACCACATTCCTCTGTTTTCTTTAGAAGGATGTGGTTCACTGTTGTGGAACTTCCCTCCCCGACCAGTTAGTCAAATAGATTTTCTCTTCTTTTCAGAATGGGAAAAAGAAGGTCAAGGAGGTCTCCATGAGGATTTTCCCCCACACCCTGGTCTTGAGAAGCCAACAGTGACTTAATTTCTCATCTGTGTCTAGAATCTATCTACTTTGCAGATAAAATATTGGAATGCTGAGGAGGGCCTGGGTGTTAGAGAAATTTGTGTGGTAGTCTTTTATAAAATTAAATCTGCTAGTAATAATACCACCAGTCTTGGACCCACAAGAGTTGTGGTAAGACTCAAAATGGATAATGGCCAAACATGTGCTTTGAGAAGTGTGAAGAGCCTTGTAAATATAAGATCCATTCATTCAAGGAACTCGGTGGAGACAACAAATATAAAGGTGAATGCTATCTTTGAATCTTCCAGACCATCAGGGCAAATAAACATGGCTATACGGGAGAAAGGGGATCCCTAGTGCACCATTGGTGAGAATGTAAACTAGAGCTAGTATAGAGAACAATATGGAGATGCTTCATACTAGAAATAGATGGAATTATTCCACTACTGGGTAATTATCCAAAGGAAATGAAATCCATATGTCAAACAGACATCAGAAATCCCATGATTATTTCAGCTTATTCATAATAGCCAAGATATGGAATCAACCTAGGTGTCCATCAGCAGATGAATGGATTTAAAAATGTGGTGTATATACAGAGTAAAATACTATTTAGCCACAAAAAGAATGAAATCTGTTATTTGCAGCAACATGGATRGAACTGGAGGACATTATGTTAAGTGAAATAAGTCAGGCATAGAAAGAAAAGTACTACCTAATTTCACTTTATTTTTTACAAAGTTGATCTCATAGAATTATAGTAGAAAAGTAGTAACCAGAGGCTGGGAAGGGTGTAGGTGGGTAAAAGAAATGGAGAGGGCTAATGGATACAAAGGTACAGTTTTTTAAACTTCTAATGTTCTGCAGCACAGTAGGTAAACTGTGATTGACAGCCATCAATTTTATATTTCAAAAAAGCTAGGACAGAGAATGTTCCCAACACAAAGAAATGATAAATGTTTGAGATAACAGATATTCCAGTTACCACAATCTGATTATTACATGTATTCTAATACCATGCTGTACCCCATAAATATATGCAATTATTATGTCAATTAGAAATAAAAAATTTTAAATGACTATACAAATAGTTAAAATATAAGATGCATCACATGCAAATACTGTACAAATATATCCCCATTATGTAAACTTACACTTTTTTTGGAATAACAAAGAATATGGGGCATCTGGTTGTATTTAACATTCCTACTCTTATAAGTACTCCTTTTTCAACAGGAGCTCTTAAGTTAGTCTCCTTCTTTCTACTTGTGTGGGTCTATGGCAGGGGAGAGAGAGAGTGTGTGTGTGTGTGTGTGTGTGTGTGTGTGTGTATGTGTGTGTGTGTGTGTATTAGTTCCCTATTGCTGCTGCAACAACTTACTGCAAACTTAGTAGTTTAGAACAATACAATTTTATTATCTTGCATCAAAAGTCCAACCTCTGTCGGATTTGGCTAAAGTCAAGGTATTAGCAGGAAGAGTATCCAAAAGGAGGCTCCAGGGGGATTTTTCCTGGCCTCTTCCAGGTGTTAGAGGCTGTTGCATTCCTTGGCCTGTGCCCTTTTCCATCTTTGAAGCTGGTGGTGCATTACCAGTTGAGTCTTACACACACTGAATCACTGTGCCTCTGCTTCTGTCAGCACATCTTCTGTCCCAACACTGACTCTGGTGCTCCTTATAAGGACTCTTATGATTGTATCAGGCCCATGTGGATAATCCAGAATAATCTCCCCATGTTGAGATTTTTTTTTAATGTACTCATCCCCATAAAGTTCCTTTTGCCTGATAAGTAACATTCTCAGGTTCCAGGGACTAGGACTTGGACATCTTTGTGGGGGAGGAGCATTAAAAAAAATTCTAGGGCTTCAAACCAAACAGTTTTATGTATATACACATATGTTTTTTCTACTCTCCTTCTTCTTCAAATAAGAAGTCATAAAGCAGCTTTATAAAGGTAACAAATCATGAAATAAAACTACTTAGAGCCTCGCTATATCCATTAAAAATCAGATCCTTTGCTATCAGGGAAGAAAAAAAAAAACAAAGGATAACAACACAGGCCCCACATAAAAGGTAAGGAGAAGGGCTTGGTAGGCTGGAAAGTCATAATACTGTATGTGCTTCACTGGGAATGCTGGCTACAGCCCTTGGAAATGATTAGCTGTTAACAATTGTTCACAGCTCTTCAGTTGCTCTAATCTACAATTCTTTGTCTGTGTAGACTTCAAAACATTTTTTTTAAATCAATAAACTATATTTTGTAGAGCAGTTTTAGGTTCACAGCAAAATTGAACAAAAGTACAAAGTGTTTCTATATACCCAGTCCCCACGCCCACACCCTCCTCCACTTGAAACATTTTTTAAGGCAGTAATAGAATTCTTGGCTCCTTTTCTTTTCCAAAAGTAAAGCTAGTTAAAAAATAAAAGTGATACTGCTCTGGTTGAAGTGGGTACACACAGCTCCTCAACCTCTGTCAAATCCCAGCACAAGATTTGAAACCTGTTCTTAAGTTAACTTCTCTTAGTTAAATGAAGAGAACACTTTAAGGTAGAAAGCACCCTCTGCACTACAGAAGTAGGGAGACTATCATGTTGGAAATTCCTCTCCAGTCTTAAGAGACAAAACTTATAATGTTCTGCCAAGAAGTGGAAGGATAGGCTTTCTCGCTGAGACTTGGTTTCCCCACTTCTGTCACATAGCATAGGAATCTTCATGCTGGAATCTGCTATCTTAGTTACCAGAGTGACAGGGCCAGTGGGCAGCACCTGAATATCACAGCAATGGGGGCGTGCATGGTATAGCTCTGATTCATTCATTGTATACTTATGGAGTCCCTATCATGGCCTGGACTTATATGCTGGGGACATAATATTAACTAGGACTTACTGTGGGCCTTTTGCAGTCTGGTGGGTGGTGGTGCAGAGAAGTGAATAGCAGGCGCCCCTGAAATAATGTTGGATAGGATTCTACAAGCTAGGTAGAGAAAGACTGAAAGATTTCCAGAGGGAATGGTCTCTAAGCAAAATCTGAAACGGTCAGAAGGGAGATTGGGACGGGGGAGCCAAATGTGCAAGGCCACAAGATGGTGAGGAAATGGAATAGAACCGGGTATTTTGGAAAATAAATAGGGGCAGATGATGATGGAAGGCCTTGAGGCTGTGTAAGTGTGTAAGTCTGGGCAGCCACTTCAGAGTCCTAAGCAGAGGACTGAGGTGGTCTCATTTGCTTTTGATTAGCGAACTCCCTGACTTTGGCCAATGTGCTTCCCAGTTTTCTCTTCCATGTGCCTCGAGGATCCCTGTGGCGCTTCCCTGCTGTGGTTCTGCAACTCTTTAAGCAGTGAAAAACACGCAGTTTGCAGGCCTATCTATCAGTGAGGCTCACATGCCAAGTGGAGGTCCCATGCTTGGGTCCTCTGGGTCAGTGCAAATTCTGTAGTCAAAGACGGAAGCGACCGTGCTCAATCGGATGGACGGAGAGTGGGCCAGAGGAGGGGCTCTGGCCAGGCTGGTGGACTTGGGAGACTAAGGCAAGGTGGCAGCCAGTCCGAAGCCTCCGGGTCAGCCGGGAGATTCTTTCCAAATCCTCGGTCATCACCGCCGCTCACTGCGTCTTATCGCGTCTCTGGGGCCTCAGAGGAAGGCTGCCCGACCCGGACGCCTGAAATCCGCCCATTGTTCCCTCCCCGGGCTGAAGAACCACAGCTCGCAGCGGGAGGCAGACAGCCACCCCGGCAGCCGGAAGCGCAGGCCGGGCGTGGGGCCGAGGGCGGCGGACTCGGGTCTGCGCAGGCGCAGGTGGAACTGCCTCAGGAAGACGGGCGCTGTCCGGGTTCTGCGGCCCGCGGCTGCCATCTGGTGGATATGCAGCACGGTGGCCGCTTCCACCCCGCAGAGGCGGGCGCTGGCTGAAAGCGGACGCAGAAACCTTGCCGGGGAGCCCAGCCAAGCGCTGTGTTTTTCCAGGTYCGCGCAGGCCAGGGGAGCCCTGCGTGTTTGCTTGGTAGGAGTGGATTACCGGGAAACTAGACGGAAGGTACCCTGCAAATAGGCATGTACTGTATTGTTTGGGAGTGAACAGCGTGTAAAGTAAATGTCAGGTGAGGGCAGTGCCGGGAACCACCGCCCGCCCCCTCCTCCTGGCCTTGGCTGCTCCCTGACCTTGAACTGAAGCACCGCGGGCAAAATAGCTCTGAGAGCGAGAGCACAGAGAGGAGGCGGGGTGGGAGCAAGAGGTGTCAAGACAGAAATAAGAGCTAGCCTGCCCAGCCCACGCATTCCACGGCGGAGAGCACGCCCCTTCTGCCCACCCCACCAACGCCATAGATACGTGGTGAGCCAGTTTTCTGCCAGATGTGAGGGGTGGCTCAGGGCCTGCTCATTGATGACAGGAACAGAACCCATGCAGAGGGGACCCCCAGCCCATGGGATTAGAATTACATATCTCTTTTAGGGAGCCACTACCTACAGTTGTCTTGGACTTCACTGGCTGGGTGTGGCTAAGTAGTGCCCTATCTCCTGATTCTGAGCTGTCCTTGATCTTGTTGGTTCCCACCCTGTTCTTGTACCCAGCAGTCCCTTTGGACGTGTTTCCTCTCTTCAGGGATTTAAAGATTAGTCGTGAACATCTTCTTTCGCCTTCTGTCCTTGCTCAAGGGCATGTTGACTATTTCTTCATCCCACCTGAATTTTCCTGGGCTGCCTGCTGGGAAATGGCTTCTTTAGGGCTCCTCCTGTTGCAGAGCAAGGACATTTTTTTCCCCTGGATCCCTAGCGACTGGGAGGTTCTCAATCGCCAGTTCTTTGTGATCATGCCGTACAGATTTCAGACAAGTCACTCAGACTAGCAAGCATTTGTTTATTAGAAGGGTTTTGGAAAAGGGAAAAAGGGACCCTCTGAAGGGAAGGGAGGGAATAGGTCCTCTGGGGAGAGGCGCAGGCCACGCCTTCCTTCCCTCCTGTTTTATTGGGGATCCCAGAGAAGTTTCCAGAGTCCTGCCTACATCCACCTCTTGACTTTCGACTGATTGGATAACTTTCAAGTCACCACTGTGCATGGTCTTACCCCATGGAGGGGGAATTTTTTTTTATTATAAAGACATGCTAAAGATCCAACGCAACTGTGGGTCACCTTGGCCCACATTGACTGGTTCTAATTGGAACTTGTTCTTACAGATTTTATGGTTGGGGGTTTGCCTCTAATCCTGTCCCTCTTAGTCCTGGAATCTATCTGTGTGAAAGTCACAAAACTCTGCCCTCCAGGGTAACTTGTATTCTTATCTGCAGGGCTGAGCCTTTTGGGCTGGTGGTTGTTCCCTGAGGAATGTAACATGTCCTATTGACTTAAGCCAGGCAAGGCCAGAGCGGCCTCAGGCAAACTGCCCTTCAAAAGAAAGCATGGGGGGTGGGTGTGGGAATCAACAGAGAAGGCTCAGCTCACAGAACTCCCCACTGCTTATGTCTGCCACCTGTTACATCCCACTGCCACCATTTTTATGCTCTCCCAGTTCTCCTGCATTCTACTGATGGACATCATCCAGTGTCATCAAAGGGCTTTTTGTGCCTAGATTTTCAGTGGGCAG